TACTGTATGTTACACACTGTGGTAAACTTCTACAGGGGCCAACACACCAGGTGTGGGGATCGAACCCCAGCCACTGTGTCTGCCTGAGCAGGTGCTTTAATCTGCTGAGCTATTTGGCATCGAGATTTTTTCTGTTTTTCACAATGATTTTATTATCATGAAAGTTTATATTTAGATACTAATATCACTACTTCAGCTTTCTTTTGGTTAGCATTTACCTGGTCTATCTTTTCCATTGTTTTTACTTTTACTTTTTCCTTGATTTGTGTTTTAGCTGTGTCCCTTACAAATGGTACATAGCTGGACTTTATGCAGTCTCTTAACCTCTGTTTTTTTGGGGGGGGGTTTTTGGCGGAACCGGGGATTGAACTCAGGCCCTTGCTCTTGCCAGGGAAGCACTTATTCAACTGAGCCATCTTCTCGGCCCCTTTTTATTCTTTTTTGTTCTTCTCACTGCTGTTTCTGTAAGATCCCATTTCAACTGAGCTGGCTGAGATGGGGTTAGTGTTAGAAATAGCAGTGACCTATGGTCAAAGGCAATGCTATACATAGGATATGGATTTTATGAAAGTAGTCACATTGACAAATGATGGTGTAAGGGGGCTGGTAGAGCTCATGACTGATGGACTTAAATGTTTTTTACAAATGTGAGACAAGAATATCTGATCACAAAGGGGAAGAAAGTGGGAATGTAAAACTCAAGAAATCTTAAAATAGAACCCAAAGAGACTAGATAGGGGAATTGAAAAGTGAAAGTAGGGGCCAGGGAGATGGCTCAGTGGAATAAGCGGTTCCCTGGCAAGCACAAGGGCCTGAGTTCAATCCCCGGTTCCATAAAAAAAAAAAAAAAAAAAAAAAGCAGGATTTATAGATGGCAGCTGTGGATTAGCTGAGGTTTTAGGCCAGGAATTTTTTTTTTTTTTTTTTTTTTTTTTTTTTTTCATGGTCAAAAGGAAGTCTATTCACAAAGTTCATTTTAATTCTTATAAGTTCATCTTAGTATTAAATAGGATAAGATGCTTAATAGCTGTATTCAACACTTTATTCCAATTTTCCCCTCAGAGATCCAGTCACTTATTCAATATCCAGTTTAGTCCTTTTTCAGCGGACTTGCTATGAGTGTGTTTATACTTTAATAGATAAAAGCCAAGTATCATCAGGTATTTAGATAGATGTAGCTAACTGTTTTGGAAAATGAAAATTTATAAAATTTATAGATGTTTATTATTAGATCAGATTAAATATCAATTGAAGGCTATGATAAAGATTGGTTTAAAATCAGGGTCAGGGAGATGGCTCAGTGGAATAAGAGCTTGCCTGGCAAGCACAAGGGCCTGAGTTCAATCCCCGGTTCTGAAAAAAAAATCATTTATCATTTGGCCTTACATGTTTTAAGAAGTATCATTTACAGAAATTATATGTCACTTTTTGTTATACAACCCATATTTAATTTCATGCAGCTGAAGTAGTATTTCAGTTGTAAAAACCATCTCTGGTTGCAGAAAATATCAGAAACATTATTGGAATTTAATCTGATTTGCAAATATTCTAAGAATTTTTTTTTGTCCTAAGAATTCTTAAGCTACACAATATTTTAAGTAGAAAATCATGAATTTTAACAGTTTGGTAGTGTTTATAATAATCCCAACTAAAGGCTCATCATTGTAAAATAAAGACAAAAACTAATCTTTACCTTTTAACAAAAGTTGTATATGATATCATTTATAATACTTCCAAGTATCAAAGGTATAGCTTAGTGGTCAACTGCGTGGTACAAGATACTAAACAAAATACATTTACTGCATTCTTTTTCACTTGCAGCCACCCTGTTATCCAAAATAAAATTTTCTGAAAGTAAAATCTAGAGTGCAGTTTGATTAGTGTAAACCATTGCATTTCTCTCCTTACATGTTTAATTTTCTCTCTCAGTGCCCCACATGCCCACCATGGTATCATATTATTAAAAACATTAAGTACCTGGGATTTATGCTTTAGATTAAGACATTGTTTGAATAACTTCCAATGATGTATAGATCTGCATGTAAAAAAGATGTTTTGTGGTCACAGTTACCTCAAAAGTAATTATATTCAAATAACCTGACATATTATGCCTTAGTAATTACAAAACCACAATTTTGACATATGGCAGTTTATAAGTTAAGAAATGCTAAAAGCTGTTCTGTTTAAGTGTTAAGTGTTTTGTTTAAGACTGTTGCAAAATTTGGGTAATTATTTTTTTAATTAGCATAACAAGTCCATGGTAGCATGTTAAATCATATAGTACAAATCCAAGGAAGGTAATATCTTTACTAAGTTAAAAAACTTTTGACAAACCAGTACAGTGCTCTTTAATTCAATAAAATAGTATTTCTTTTGGAGTCATCTATTACTCTAGTGACAATTTTCACTCTAAAAATATCATTTAAGTACCAAATCAAAATACTGTGGTTTCTAGCAGAGCAAGTTATACAAATCAATATCATTTTTTTTACAGCTGTAGAATTTCTTCTGATAAAGTGCATTCCTCATCTATCCAGTTTTAGCTTGCAGCAGCAAGGAAACTATGTGTACGTAAAGGATGGTTCTGCTTTGTTCTGGGGTTGGTCCAAAGCCAGGTAAACTATCAGGGTCTGAAAAGGCTAAGCATGCTACCTTAAGAAGACAGTTACACTGTCCATATCAATTTTTTCAAGTACTTTAAAAAAGGTTACATTTTCACATGAATACTGGAACCCTAACAATTAGTCATTTCAAGTCATCCTAACATCAGATGACCCCTGTGATTTAGAACCCCTGTATCTTTATGTTTTGATGAAAATTGCATAGGGTCACTCCAGCTTATTGAAAAAAAAATTCTACCAGCACCATTTATTAAAGAGGCTATGTTTCTACCAGTGAGCTTGTTTGGCCCCAGGTTGAGTGTATTTCCAGTTGTGTCTGCATCTTCTAATCTGTTTCACTGATCCTCAGGTCTGTCTCCATGCCAGTACCATGCTGATTTTATCATGGTAGCTTTATAGTATAATTTTAGGTCAAGGATTGTGATAGCTCCTGCCTTTCCTTTGTTTTCCAGGATAGCTTTTGATATTTTGGGTGTCTTCTGGTTCCAAATGAATTTGAGGAAAGTTTTTTCTAGCTCTGTGAGGTATACTAAGGGTATTTTTATCAGGATTACATTGAATCTATATAACAATTCAGGGAGTATGGCCATTTTTACGATGTTTTACAATGTTGGTTCTTCTTATCCAGGAGTAATGTGGGATTACAGGCATGTGCCACCATGCTCAGTCTCAATCACCATCTCAGCATGTTCTGGGGATGGGGCTGGCACGGCAGGCCAGGGTTCAAACTCCAGTCCCAATGTCTGCCTATGCAGATGCTTTAGTCTGCTGAGTTATCTGGCTGGACATCATGCATATTTGTATGACTGTTTCTGTTATGTAGATTCTTAGGCGTGGTGGAATATGCCTGTTTTAGAATGTGCATTAGCAAAGGCAAGTGAAATAGCTCAGTGGATTAAAGTGCCAGCAAGCAGGCGCAGAGGCCGGGGATTTGATCCCCAGGCCCGCCCTGCCGGCCCCGCCCCCAGCTAACACTGAGATGGTAATTGAGACTGGGCAGGGTGGCGTGTACCTATAATCCTAGCTCTTGGGAGGCTGTAAACAGGCGGATCCCTATGAGTCCGGTCTAGTAGTGAGACCCCGAACACCCTATGAACCCTTCCCTAAAAAAAAATACAAAAATAATGTGCACTACCAAATTGCCCTTTAGTTTGTCATTTGAGACAGTCTTTTGTACTATAGATTGACATTTGTAAAATAAGTTAATCATATGATTTTCCAGCATCAAAAACAACACCAAAGAATGTGATATATATCAGCTTTTCTCAAGAGTATTTAGTAGTATGAAATTGGGCCCAGATCTGTTTTTTTGTACCAGTTTTTCCCTTCCAACAAATATGCATTCTATTTGATAAAATAAAGCCCACCAGTTTTGTAAAACCCTCCCATATGTACTGCTCTCTCCACTTCCTGTAATATAGACTTAACTTTCTTCTCTGAGTTTCCATAGTATTTACTTTACAATCCATCTCATAGCACTTAGCAGATTGTGCTGTGCTCATGTGCTCATGTGTATCTGTCTCACCTGTTACTCTGCAGACCTCTTAAGGGCAAAAGCTGTGTATTCCTCATCTCTGGATCACTAGCACTTTGTATAGTGCCACAATGGTGCTCAAAAAATGCTTATGAAATGGGAAAAGATATTCTTTTTTTTAAAGGTCTTTTTTTAAATTTATTTATGTGTATGTGTGTGGCCAGCTCAGCCCACCATGGGGCAGGGCTGACTGGCATGTGGTGCTGGGGGATTGAACTGCAGTCCCTGTGCTTTGCTAAGCTTGTTCTAAGTAGGTGCTTTAGACCACTGAGCCATCTCACCAACCCGGGAAAAGATATTCTTGAGGTTCAGTTATAGTGCAGTAAACACTTTGTGAGACAGAGTAAGTAGTGGAAGTTTGTAAAATGTGGCAGAAGGTAGACTGACCCCAGGAAGGTGGAAGCTGGTCAGGGATGGAGAGCTTGGCCTAAACTATCAGGAGTCCACATATGCTCCCCCCCTCAACTATAGAGATCAGCTACTTGAGTATTTGGGTTACTAGAGTTGTGATTTGAGAACATTTAAGTAATAAGTATTGGATGATAGAGGCTCCACTTGGGGGAGGGAATATTTGATTCCACTGTTCTGCACTCTTTCCAGAATAAGATGCTGTGCTGAAAGATCCAACCATTTCCTAGAGTAATAAATAACTCCTTGAAAAATCAAAGCCTCTTCATTTTCAAGGTGTGAGTCAGGTGGGAGTAGGTATGGTAAATAGGTTAGATATTTCTACTTTGTCTATTTAGACTGGCTTAATGGGGACATAACCTCTCAAAAAGCTCTAGAGTTGAAGGCCTGTTCTGTAATAAATCATTTATGTGAAATTAGTTGTTCTTTCATTTCAGGTAACTCTGGTAGCTGTCCTTGGTCAGTTCCTTTGAATAAAGAGTAGGAAAAAAAGTAGACTACATCATGTCAGAGATACTAGACCTCTCTTTCCTGTCTGACATGGAAAGGGATGTGATCATCAATGTTCTACAACGAGATGAGGAGCTCCGGAAAGCAGATGAAAAAAGAATTAGGTGAGTTTCAGAAAAAGTGTGGGCTCCTGGCCTTTGATGAATGGTCCATAGGACTTTCCTTATATCTCTCAAAGCTGTTTACTACTCCTTGTGGATGGAGATAGGCTCTGAATTTGTTACTTTCACAAAGCCAAATACTCTTACTGCCTTTGCCCTTCAAGTCTTCTTCATCTAACCTGTGCATATCCTGAATCCAGTTGGGCTTCTCTTTTGGGTCTTGACAGGCGACTGAAGAGTGAGCTCTTGGAGATCAAAAGGAAAGGGGCCAAGAGGGGCAGCCAACACTACAGTGACTGGACCTGTGCTCGGTGCCAAGAGAACCTGGGCCGTTTAACTCCCAAGACCAACACTTGTAGGGGTTGCAATCACTTTGTGTGTCGGGACTGCCGCATCCAGGAAAGCAATGGCACCTGGAGGTGCAAAGTGTGCACCAAGGAAATGTGAGTGTTTCCTATGGCTGAGGAGAAACAAGAGATGAGGCCTGGCTGTGGTGTGAATTTCTCTCCTCAGCCTTTGTTGGTTGACTGACAAAGACCCATTCTTTAGCCATCTCTCATTTTCTTTCATTCTTTCCCAGAGAGCTGAAGAAAGCAACTGGAGACTGGTTTTATGACCAAAAAGTGAATCGTTTTGCTTATCGCTCAGGCAGCGAGATAATCAGGATGTCTCTGCGCCGCAAACCTGCAGGTACTGGGCCAGCTTAGAGATGGTTTCCTAAAGGATTTAACCTCACTGATAGAGCCTCTCCTGTGGAATTGTAGTGTGTTCTTATTTATGGTGTCTTACCTCTCTGAGCTCACCCTTTTTTTGGGAGGAATGGAAAAGATTGTATTACTGTTTCTTCTGTTAGCATGATGTGATTTGGAGAAGATGCCATGAGCCTGGATACTATTTGCTCCTTCATCACCACCACACTAAAATGCTTTTTGGGGACTCAGGTCAATAATTTCTGACATGCTAGTTAAACAGAAGGCCCAATGCTATTATGGGCTACTGGACTCTTTTAGAATATTTTGCTGAGTTTACACACCTATAATATTCAATAACGGAACTTAGAAAAAATGGGGTATACTGATGAATGTCCATTTTGTATCTGTGTATTCAAAGTGGTTAGGATAGATACATAGTTGCATTCTCTTAATGAATAGAATGATTTGTTCTAATGCTGTTTGTAAATAGGATCTCAAGTACGCATCTTGTACAGCAATTAAACACTAAGAAGAATATATGCAGTGTATTATTTGTTGAAACTGTACTTCCGATTTGATTTGAAACTGTCTCATTGCTATCTGTTTATCAATAAAATTTTGAAAAAAATAAAAAATAAAATAAAATAAAATGCTTTTGTTTGTCTTGAAGTGAATAAAAGAGAAACGGTGGGACAGTCTCTCCTTCATCAGACACAGATGGATGATATCTGGCCAGGAAGAAAGATTATTCAGGAGCAACAAAAAGAACACAGGTGAGAACCAAGTAGTTATTTATTGAAAGAAATGCTATGTATCCTTTTAATTATTTTATTATTGTTTTTACTTGCTTCTGTTTCTCAAATAACAGGTGACATCAGAAAAGTAATATCTTGAATATCCAAAGAATTTTTAAAAATTAGATCCCATGAAATAATGGGCAACTTGAATGAATAGGCACTTCTCAGAATAAATGTATGTAAAAATATTAAATATCTCTGGCCAGGAGAGAAATGCAAATTTAAGTATACAACATTTAGTTTGTGTACTTTACTTAGTTCACTTAATATTATGGTCATAAGTGCATCCATTTTCCTACAGATGACTCAAATTTATCCTTCTTTATAATGGAATAGTACTCTGTTGTGTATAAATACCATTTTTCTTTATCTTTTCAACTGGTGATGCACATATAGTTTATTTCTAAGAATTAGCCATTGTAAGTTGTGCTGCTATAAATGTAGATATGCATATATCACTGAAATATTTTGCCTTTAACGTTTTTTGAAAGATACTAAGAAATAAGTTGGTTGAATGGAATTTCTAGGTTTCTTTCTTTTTTAAGCAATCTCCATACTGATTTTCATAGTGGTTATACTAGTTTACTTTCTTATCAGTAATGTAGAATGGTTCTTTTCTCCCACAATTTATCCAGTATTTGTTATTATTTGATTTCTTCGTGACAACCCTTCTTTTTTGGGGGTACAATAGAATCTCAGTGATACTTAGATTTGCCTTTCACTAGTGGCCAGTGAGGTAGAACAGTTTTTCAAGTATTTATTGGCTATTTGTACTTCCTAGAACTGTCTCTTCACTTGAAGACCCATTTATTGATTGGGTCTTTTATTTTGAGACGTCTAATTTTTAGTATTAGTCCAAGACATAGGGAAAATTTTTGCCAATTCTGTAAGTTGTGTTGGTTTTATTTGCTGGGTTATTTCTTGTACAATTGTTTTCCATCTGTTGATTCTTAGTTTATGGATTTCTTTTTGAATTAGATATATCTTTTCAATGTAACAGACTAGTTTTGGTTTTTTTATCTAGTCTTCCAATTCATGTCTTTTTAATTATGGAGTTGAGGCCATTTGCATTGAGAGTTATTACTGAAAGCTTTCAGCTCATTTCAGTCATTGTGTTCTTTTTTCTATTGTTGCATTTAAAATTGTTCTCTTTTTAACTACTTGCCTTGCTTGATGTATTCATTCCATCTGGCATATTGGCTGTGTTGTTTTCATTATGTCTGTCTTTTTTACTCTTGGATTTTTGATTACTTATTTTGGATATTTATGAATTTTGTAAGGTGGTCTTTGTCGTGAAATGTCTACATTTCTCTTTCAACTTTGAAATACCATTTTCCAGGATATATGAATTTGGGTTGGGAGTTGTTTTCTTTTAAAGCTTTAAACACTTAATTCCAAACTCTTCTGGCCTGCAGAGTTTGTGTTGGAAAGCTTGCTGTGGGTTTCCCTAGTGAAACCTACTAGGGACACCTAGTGGGTTTACCTTTATAAGTGATTTTTGTTTTTAAGATTCTGTCTATGTTGGACTTCTGAGATTTTGACTATAATGTGTCACTGGGAGTTTCATTTCTCATCATAGTTACTTATATAAGCCTCACTTACCTGTATCGTATATTGAGGTTTTTCAGGTTTTCCCCTATACTTTGAAAGATTTTTGCTATGATTTTTCTCTGAATAGTTTTCATTCCATATGTGCTGTCCTCTAACTTATTTATAGCTACAGTTAGTATTAGGTTAGTGTTCTTACTATCATCTAATAGTTGTTGGGTGAATTTTT